AACAGTTTTTTCATTAGTTCATCTTTGTACACAGATGAGATCATGGGGAGGTATCTGCTTCTAAGAAACTGGAAATGTTCACAAATGAAAAGTACATGAAACTCATCCTCGACATAGACTTCATTACAAAAATGTCATAAACTATTTTTTTTATCATGTACAGTTTTCTTTCTGAGGTTCTTAACATTAAAATTCTGTAGTGATATTCGTAATATATTATACAGAAAGCTCTTCTAAAAGTTCTATCCTGCAGTTCGGATACATATATTTCAGGAACAAGTAATTACATTTATTTGCATAATGACACAGAAATCTTGAGGAAGATATTTGACAGTGCCCGTTTTATGAAAATATGTCATTAAATCTTTGCTTAAGGATAAAGGTAAATAACGTAATAATTTCCAAAATCTTGAGATATCGAAGCAAGGGAAAAACCAGACATATCGATGTAGATGCATATTCCTCTTGATTGCGACACTCGATATATATATATATATATATATATATATATATATATTGCTTATTTTTTATTTGAAATAGGAGAAGCATTCATTGAGTATGGGAGTATTTTGCTGGAATATTGAAGCGTCGTAAAATCATACACTTTGTCTCCACTCTTGAGATCTCGGTCGACTCATATCAAAATCACTGGTAGTTTGCTGTTGTAAGTATAAAGCTATGCTCTGTGATGGGTGAGTATGGTTTTACGCCGCTTTTAGCAATATTCCAGCAATATCACGGCGGAGGACACAAGAAATGGGCTTCACACATTGTACCCATGAGGGGAATCGAACCCGTGTCTTCGGCGTGACGAGCCAACGTTTTTAACCATTAGGTTACCCAACCACCCCATTATGATGAGGCCCATATTACAGTATAGAACAACAGCGTGGGAACATACACGCTATCGACCATCAATGCTGTGTCGTGCTAATAGGAGCAATCATATAGTTTGTGCAACTACAGACATATGCGCCAACACTCTATGTTCTGTTATGGGGTCACCCGTGAAGGTCCGGGTTAGAATGAACATTCAACAACCCATGCTTGTCGTAAGAGGCGACTAACGGGATCGGGTGGTCAGGCTCGCTGGCTTGGTTGACACATGTCATCGGTTCCCAACTGCGCAGATCGATGTTTATGCTGTTGATCACTGGATTGTCTGGTCCAGACTCGATTATTTACAGACCGCCGCCATATGGCTGGAATATTGCTGAGTGCGGCGTAAAACTAAACTCACTCACTCACTGTTATGGGGTTGTTACCTACCCTCAGTTGTAAGTGCCGATGTGACGTTAGATATTAACTCACTCACTGTTATGGGGTGGTTACCTACCCTCAGTTGTAAGTTAAGGTGTTAGGAACGCCTTGAGTGTATTACTTTAACATTTGCGATTAACGTAGAAAGTACAGATGTAGCAAACAAACATGATTTTGTCAACAAAAGAAATTAGAATTCTTGCGTCAAAGCTACGTACATGTAGGGGGAGCATGGAGTAGAACATGTCTTTCCTGAAAATGTCCTCCATCCCATGTACATTAAATCTGAAGTTCGTCATCTCAATGTTGTTCAAGGAGCTGACAGATGGAAAACAGGTGTAATACATTTTGTGTTTGCAGTACTTTACAAAATGATGGTGGGGAGGTGTATCACCGAATCACCATGTCAAACGTTCAGGGTGATCCCACGCTTCTTTCACGTGTGGTGTCGCTTCTACACCGTTGGAAGGGCGGTCGGGTAGCCTAGTGAGTGAAGCGTTTGCTCGTCAGACCGAAGGCCCGGGTTTGATTCCCCATAATGGGTAAAATGTGTGAAGCCCATTTCTGGTGTCCCCCGGCGTGATATTGCTGGAATATTGCTAAAAGCGGCGTAAAATCAAACTCACTCACTCACTCTACACCGTTGGAACCCGGGGAATATTTAAATCTACCCATGAATGAAAGTGTGTAGGTGTACAGACCAATATTGAATGGCAAAACCACATTTTGCACTTTGCACTGATACTCTAATAGGACATGTTATTCCAACACTACAAGTTTTGGGTATTCCAGCGAGACATTGATCCCAAATCCTGATCAAGCTCTCTCTAGAAGGGTTTAAGGAGCACGATCCTGTAAATCCTACCGTCCGGACGTGAACACAGCTGAAGTTGTTTTGGAAATCAAGGAGGACCGTGACAATATCTTTGAGAATAAATAAAATTATATGACTGTGATAAGAACCAAGGCAGGTGAGATGTCAGGACGGTATGATGTCTTGTAGCCTCGGGTAAGCAGTGTTTTCCTCGGAAAGGGGAGTTGGCTGAGGTGGTTATATTTATATTTCTATGGCTTCTTTAAGGCCATACTCTGCACACACGAACATGTAATAGATGGTGATATCTTAGTTTATTTGAAAAAAATATATAACGTTACTATAGAAGTCAATGGGAAAATATTTGCAGGGGCGGATAAAGCTTTTTGAGAAAGGGGAAGGGGTGGGGTGCACACTATTGAGAAAAGGAGGGGTGCACCCTTCTATGAATCCGCTTTTTTTTGTGTAACTTCTATCTCGCTGAAAGGGCGATAACTCATGAAAGAATAGTCAGCAAAACACAGGCACAAATATTCCTTCTGTCACCCAAGTTCGTCCTGGACAACATACTGCTGCTGCTGCTGCTACTACTACTGCTCCTGCAGCTACTTCTACTACCACTGCTCCTGCAGCCACCTCCACTACTACTACTACATTCACTACTACTACGACGACGATACCGTGAGTCCGTGGCACAAACAACTATAAATAATGACAATTCTATGATGACCAACAGAGCTGACTGGCCCAGCTGTGAGAGACAGGGCTGACATAACCCATTATGCCCCATCCCACTGATGAGGCCCGAGGGAGATTCAGTTAAGTGAACAATATTTAATTGTATCCTGTTCCTGTCTTGATGTGAATTGATCTTAATTAATGGATCTGACAGATCGATTAAAAGGTGTTCCTGGGTATAGGTGTGGCTCGGGGTGACACGTCAAGCACCTGTTCAAATCAACCATATGACCCTTGAGTGATATATTATATATAACTGTTCGCATTGTTTGTTTCTGTGGAAAGTATTTTCTTTACACTTAAAAGGTTGTATTATAATGGGGTCTTAACATCTTTGCAAATAGAAGTAAAGGCTTGGTCGATAGTAGGGTATTATTCATAAACAATGTGTTTTGAAGAGGTTATAACATAAATGTTAAGTTGCCATTAGCGAAGTAAACAACCTTTCCTGATGATTGCGTGCTGCACGTGAAGCATGCAAAACACGTGACAATTACAATTCGTGACTTTGTGACAAACAAGGCCAGGGCTTGACACGTACACATGAGAATGGCGTGTCACTTGAGGAAACAACAAACCACTTTTGGAGCGGTGCAAAAAATCATTAATTTGGTTGATGAACCCGGAGTTGAAATTAATGGATGTGTATTTTTAAGATGTACGGAAAGCCTAAAGTGCCGAGAAACAAATAGGAGAGAGCACTGTAAACTATCCAATTATCTTTGCATTTTGGGAACACGGGTGCATGGGTACATTTATTTCGAAATTACTGACATCTTCAATTGTTTTAAGATATCTTCAAAGTGGTTTAGTTTCTACGCCGTGGTATGACTGGAAGACTGTTCAAAACGACATTAAACCTAACTCACTCACTCACTATAGTCCGTTTGGCTCAAAATCGGACCGATGAATTGCAATTTAACTCGAAAATTACTAAACATATAGTACTCAATGAAACACTGATCATAATCAAAACATCAGACCAACTCTGTGATTTGTTTTTCAGAATTTATGTCCTAAAAATAAAAAAAATTGTTTAACAAACTATCATTACAATCTTGACACAGTTCACTATTTGTTACGAGGGAGGGGTGCAAAGAGAGGAACAGCCAGGTGTGCAAAAAAAAAGGATGGGAACGGCACAGCACAGGTTAATGAATCAATGTCTTTGTTGTGCACGTGCTTCACGTTCCTCCCTGTCCCTCGTAACAAATAGTAAACTGTGTCAACATTTTAAGGATAGTTTGTTAAACAACTTTTTTATTTTTAGGTAATAAATTCTGAAAAAAATCACAGGGTTGGTCTGAAGATTATTATGATTAGTGTTTCGTTGAGTATTCTATGTTTAGTTGTTTTCGAGTTAGATTGCAATTCATCGGTCCGATTTTGAGCCAAAAGGGCTGTGCGGACTGGTTCAGGAGGTTGCAACGTGTAATTATGTGACCTTGCTGATGGATGGCATCGGATTATCGTTCACTAATGTGTCTGGTTATATAGGTATCCCTTCATACAGCTGAAATAGTGTACACTATGACGCAAAATAACAAAACAAAATCATCCATTCGTGCTGTGTAAACTAGTTACCTCTCAGTCCACTACAGTGAGAGGACAGAACAATGCGATTGCAGAGAGATGTCTTTATTCACATATATATTTATATACATCGTTCTGTCTGTTCAACTTCAGCCAACAGATTGAAACACTTGTGTCGTGCAGAAAAAACCTTGAGAGTCCGGAAAACCCATTTGTCGGGCAGTTACTACTAAGATATGGTACATGGGGAGTTACTCAACATGGCTGGTCAATCCGGACGGTTTCACTGATATTGTCCAGATTAACAGGGTTTCACTGATGTTGTCCGGATTAACAGGGTTTCTTTAATACTGTCCGGATTAACAGGGTTTCACTGATATTGTCCGAATTAACGGGGTTTCATTAATACTGTCCGGATTAACGGGGTTTCGTTAATACTGTCCGGATTAACAGGGTTTCACTGATATTGTCCGAATTAACGGGGATTCATTAATACTGTCCGGATTAACGGGACTTCACTGATACTGTCCGGATTATCGGGGCTTTATTGATACTGTCCGGATTAATGGGGCTTCACTGAACGTGAATGGGGCTTTTTTCAGAACGTACATATTATGGTATGTGCACAAAATAAACATAAAGATTAAGATCTTCGCGTACTCGCGATCACTAAAACACTTTCGATCGTTTTTATACCAAGAAAGCCAAAAAGAATACTAAACATCTATGGTGTTAGAAATCGACAGTTTTAACCTGGTGTCGAGTCTTTGTATTCTCCGTGAAACAAAATACGGACAAGATTTAGACTTTGTGTCTCTGGAGGCTGGTGTCACTATCCCTGGTTGCAGCACTGGCTGGTGAATGAGGAAAGATTGAAGCCGCAGTCAGCTCCGAAGAAGTCAAAATAAAGGGAGGTAATCCTGTTGATTTCTGTGACACCAGAGATTCATATCGCTGAAATAACAATTCACACCGTATACTGCCAGGCAATGGCGACTATATAAACGATCCATTCACAGCCTACTATCAACTCTTGCTTCTTGGCATTGTTTGACTTATATGTTGTGACACGAATTGACCTTGCTGTTAATGACGTGGAGATTCACTACTGTGGGTTAATTCAGTGGAAAAAATACCCTCACTCTATTTCCCATTATAACCCGGAACTTTGTTTTTTACACCGGAATCTGAATAAGTCACAAAACTCTTTTCTAAACTGAGAGTTGCAGAGTCCATATACGACAGGATTGGCGCAGTTGTTCACCAAATAGGATCTCAGAAATATGTTCACAGCCACTTCTTCTGGTCCGCTTAAGTTCGGATAAAACCTGGCCCCGATCCGTAATCGAATTATCCCTATGATGAGAAAGGGGAGAAAACTCAAGATGTAGACCATAGTTATGGCGAATAACATGACAGTTGTCTTTCCTGGCCGTAATTTGCCTTTACTGAGTTTGAATGTCGACAGCACCGGTAGTCTGCCCTTGAGCAACGTGGCGGCGCTGTTGGTGCTGTCATTGCTCGGAATGCTGGTAGGTGGCGTTGTCGGCGAAGTGGGAAAGGTACACTGGGGCGATGTTGTTAGTGGTGACGTTGGTGTGGAGTCGTTATTGGTGGTGCTTGCGCTCTCGTTACGTAATTTCTTAAGATGCGATGACGTAGTAACCCCGCGCTGCTTCTTCATCCTTTTCCTCTTGATTATCTCCCTTCCTATCATAATATATATGGCCGCCATGACGACTGCGATCAAGCAGAACGCCACCCACAGGTAGATCATGAACGCGAGGGGATAAGGCGTTGTGGAATATTTATGTTCTACCTGACACATGACGGCTGTTATTACAGGGCCACCGGGAATAGGAATATCCACGTTTTTCCGTCCGTAAATCACGAGGGCAGGCCATGACACACCCACTCCCACAATCACAGAAACGCCACATGCAATCTTTGATCCTCTAATGCTGATTGGCTGATCATGAGGCAAACATATCCTTATAAACCGGTCGATGGCAACAACAAGGAGCACGAAAACCGAGGCATTGTTCATCGTGTAAGTGGTGAAACGGGATATTTTACAAATAACGCTGTTATTGAAGTAATAAAAGTTCACCATTAGGGCTATCTCTGTTGGCATGGTGATGAGACAGTTGCATAAATCCAGTACAGCCAGGCAGAGCAAAAAGCACTTGGTGGTCGTTCGCGGCCAGCGAAAGGCGTAGATAAAAATGGCAATTGGGTTTCCAATAATCCCGATAGTCATCAACACAACAGTGTACGCTATCGCAGGTGCCAACAGAATGGATTTCTTGTGGTTGAGCGATTGTAAAATTATCATCGGATCCAGTGCCTGAGTAAGAGTGGAGTTATCTCCCTTGACGGTGTCATTAAAATACGTCAATTCATAAGCGGCCATCTTGAAACGGATTCGTTGTGGTAACGGCCGTTAGACTACAACCTGAAACAGAGAATGTAAATGTCACTATAATGAAATATTGTGTGTCCTGTCAACTGATAAGTTATAATAACCACGGATTATTAGTTACTGTGACAGTAATGACTGCCAGATGTTCGCAAGACGTACATAACAGGCCCCTACGTTAATATGATTTACTGAGCTCCTGTCTGATTAAACGAGTTGACTGCCGGCGGCCGCGTCATCGTGGGCTGGGACTGGATGTCACTATTGCACTCATTAGTCTCATTATAAAGCACAGAGGACAACGTAAAGTTTGTTTATGACGTGATAGTGTTCTCACCAATTAACCTTAGCAGCGTTCCTTGCTCTGTTTTCGCAACAGACTGGGTGTTGATGTGTACATTTGGTTATCTACAATTGTGATTATAACGATGCCACGCATGCGCACCTATAACCATATACATATTTGCGCCGCATGTTTTGGTCGCATTATTATCTATTTCACAGATTAAAGATGCAAAATGCAGCAGAGAGGGTTTGGGTGATCCTGGCACAGTCAGGCTGGTAAGGCTCATCATCAGCCCCTCTACACGCAGCCCAGACTGCGTATGGGACTTCTCCCAGGAAGCGATGCCTTGTCGAACCCACCAAGAACTTTTCCGGAGACAGTGAAGCCTTCTGCATTACCCAGAGTGTCAGAAGGGCTGTGTTCCCGGTGGAGAACCCGGTCACTCTCCTGGGATCTGCTCCAAGAGATCAGGAGGTACCAAACCAAGGGCACCGAGAACAATGGGGAGCCTGGCGACAGTGTACTTGGGATGCAAGCGAGACATTTCAAAGGCGAGGTCCGCATATTTAGCATGCTTTTCCTGAATCTTGCCAATCACGCTGCTGTCAATAGGGACAGAAAATTCAATGATATATATTCATTGGCTTTATCAAAAAGGATTAGATAAGGAATTCTTTCTGAGGCTATGTATGGGCCTATTCCAAAGAAGTTTAAAAACTATATTTACCATGACGCCCTGGACATGTTCAGGGTGTACTACTACTACTACTACAACAACTACTACTAACTACTACTACTACTACTACTACTTACTACTACTTCTCTACTACTTACTACAACTACTACTTTCTACTTACCACTACTTACTTCATACTACTACTCAAGCTACTACTACTACTTCCACTACTCTTACTTACTACTTTACTACTTCCATTACTACTACTTACTACTTACTTTCACTACTACTCACCACTACTACTTACCACCACTTCATTTACTACTGCTACTTTACATACTACTACTACTACTACTACTACTTACTTTTCTACTTTACTTTTACTACTTACTAGCATTACTTACTTACCATTACTTACTACTTTTACTACCACTCACTCACTTCACATTTACTACTACTACTACTTACTTACTTACATTACTACTACTACACTACTTACTACTTTACTTAATTACTTCACCACTTACTACTTTGCAATCTTACACTACTATTAACTCACTTACTTTACTACTACTTCACTAAGCTACATTTACTTTACTTCATTTACTTACCACTTCTACTATTTCACTTTAATTTACTAATTACATTTACTACTAATTAATTTACTTCTACTTCATTTTACTTACTACTTACTTACTTTAACTACTTCACTTATTTATTTACTTTTTCACTCTACTACTATACTTACATTCACTTTTTTACTTTACTTACTTACTTTCATTAGGACTACTTACTTTTTTTACTTATTTTCACTTATTTTTTTTATTTTTTACATTTACTTACTTTACTATTTCATTTACTTCTTACTATTTTTTTTCCACTATTTACTTTACTACTTACTTACTACTTTACATTTTAATTTACTATTTTACTTACTTACTATTTTCTCATTTTACTTACTATTTTAATTTTTACTTCTTTTAATTTAATTTACTTTACTTACTTTACATTATTTACTATTTACATTTACTTACTAATTATTTACTTATTATTTACTACTTTAATTCATTTTACTTAATTTAATTTTACTCACCATTCTACTACAACACTTCATTTTATTAACTTTACTACTTACTTTTCATTTACTATTGTTAATTTACTTTACTTACTTTTTACTACTACTTTTTACTTACTTTTTACTTATTTCCACTATTTTAATTTAATTCATATTTACTTTACTTTAACTACTTACTACTATTACTACATTATACTTTACTGACTTACTACTTATTTTCTATTTACTTATTACATTTACTTACTACTTTTATTTACTTTTACTTTACATAACTACTTCTTACATTTACTATATTTACTTACTTTACATTTATTATTTACTTAATACTACTATTTACATTTTTCATTTATTTACTTTACTACTTTAATTACTTTATTTACTTTACATTTACATTACTTCTATTTACTTTACTTTTTATTTACTATTTTTCATTTACTATTTTACTACTTTACTATTTATTTACTTTACTTACTATTTTTACTTCCATTTACTTTACTTAGCAGCATTTACTTTTATTTACTACTTATTTACTTATTTATTTATTTACTTATTACTACTTACTTTTATTTACTTTACTTTATTTACTTACTTTTACTTTTTTTACTTACTTCATTTACTTATTTTACTTTACTCTATTTTACATTTACTATAATCTATTTTTACCATTAATAATAATGCATTTACTTTAACTACATTATTTACTATTTTCTTTTACTTATTTCATTTACTTTACTTTAGGTTTTACTTATTTAATATTACTTTTTACTTTATTTCATTACATTTTTACTTTAATCCATTACTTTCATTTACTTTTACTACTTCATTTTACTATTTATTTTATTAACTTTTATTTTACTTTTTTACTTTCATTTTAATTTTACTTTACTTAATTTAATTCTATTTTACTTACTTTACTTTATATTTACTCTATTAATTATTAATTCTATTTACTTTACTTACTTACTTACTTACATTACTTACTTTTTATTTTAATTCATTTACTTAATTTTACATTAATTATCAGCATTTACTATTAATTCTATTTCTATAATTTTCTTTTTACTATTTTTACTTTTCACTTACTATTTACTCTATTTTTCATTTTTCATTTCATTATATTTTTACTTTCTACTAACTATTTTATTACTTATTTACTTACATATCCATTTAATTACTTACTTTATTATTTTATATTTACTTTTTTTTCATATTTACTTTATTTTTCATATTTTATTTATTTATTTTACTTATTTTACATTTACTTTACTTTCTTTACTATTTTAACTACTTTTATTTACTATTTTACTTACTTCTTACTTTTATTCATTTACCATTTACTTTTATTTTAATTTACTTTACTCTTATAATTCATTTATTTTACTATATTTTCATTTTATTTATTTATTTATAGAGACATTTTATATTTACTATTTTTACATTTTACTTTTATATTTCTTTACTTCCATTTTTACTTACTTTTTACTATTTACTTACTTTTATTTACTACTAATTTCATTATTTTTTACATATTTGCTAATTTTATTTGACTACTACCACTACTGCTACTACTTCACTGCTACTCACCACTACTTCTTCTCACTTACTACTACCACTTACTAAACTTCCCACTTAACTACTCACCACTACCTGCCACCACTACTACTACTACTACTACTACCACTCACTACTTCCTACCACCACTCCTTACTACTCTACTCACTCTCACTACACTCTACTTTCACTACTACCCTACTTACTACTCACCACTTGCTACTACCACTGCTACTTCACTAACTACCACTGCTAATTTCACTACCACTCTACTCTACTACTACTTACTTTACTACTACTACTACTACTTTCACTACTACTACTACCACTTCACAACTACTACTACTGCTACTACTACTACTACTACTACCACTTACTACTACTACTACTACTACTACCACTACTACTACTACTACTACCACTACTTTACTACTACTACTACTTCCACTACTACTACTACTACTACTACTACTTACTTCTACTACTACCACTACTACTACTGCTACTACTACTACTACTACTACTACTACTACTACTACTACTACTACTACTACTACTACTACTACTACTACTACTACTACTACTACTACTACTACTACAATGCACATAACATTTGATCAATTATACAGGGAACATCACAAGATGGATCTCGGGACTGCGAAAGGGAATTTATGCCAATGTGAGGTTATACACACATCCCTTATCCGGCACTGGTTGACTGTAACCTCCACTGTAGCCTTGTACTTTAATGCGACTGACACTGGAATGTTGATCAATGAACAAAACGGATCGGGTATTAGGCTCGTTGAGTAATTACATGTCTGTTCCCGGCGGCGTGGAGCATTGTTAACATCAGTCAACTGATTCTGTTGTGGTGACCAATCATCTGCACACAGATACACACACATACTCTCACACAGACACAGACACAGACACACACAAAAACACAGAGACACCTAAACTGTATCTGCTAGATGGACCTGACATTTTGTAATGTTAATAACTTCAGTACAGGACCAGAATGAAGCACTTAGACAAATGATATCTCAGAACTGAGACAGGAACGACTTTTCTAACCTCATCTTTGTCATACATAATTTGATATGTACGCATTAAACCGCGTGACTTTATACGACTTGAAAGGCAATATGTTTGTTCAACAAAGTGCGCTGGCTTTTACTGCCAGAAATAATGGGCAGTGTCATCCGATATCCAAACTAACATGTCTGCCCCACCAATGAACATTTTCTCCCGCGTTTTACACAACAAACACATTCTTATTGAGGGAAAATGTAATAACATTAGGAATATGTATTCCCTTGCAGGTTATTAAATACACATGATATTGTTTCTAAATGGAACTTATTAGATTTCAAAAACATATTGAATTAACTTTCTCTGCTGTTGAAATCAGTTCATTTCTATAAGGCAAATATCAATTGGTCTTCTGAATTTCGTCATGATTTTCTACTACTACTACTGCTACTACTACTACTACTGCTACTACTACTACTACTACTACTACTACTACTACTACTACTACTACTGCTATGATCAACTGCTGCTACAACTCTTCCTTCCCCTCTCACTCCAATGGGGCAGTGGGGTATCCTAGTGGTTAAAGCGTTCGCTCGTCACGCCGAAGACCAGGGTTCGATTCTCCATATGGGTACAATGTGTGAAGCCCATTTCTGGTGTCCCCTGTCGTGATATTGTTGAAATATTGCTAAAGGTGACGTAAAACTTAATTCCCATTAAAAGTCACATTATCATCTAATCTTGGTACACATTCCTGCTGGGTGAAAGGATGCATATTTCGAACAAGGTCCCCACATAAGGAGACACCACATGTGCCACATGTTCTTGTGTGTGGCATGACAAAAGCTTTAGAAACTACCCGGAGTCAAGATGACGCATACTTTCATCCATCCACCTACATTCCGCTAACACTATAGCTCAACTTCACCTGATATAGATCTGTAATAGTGAGTGAGTGAGTTTAGTTTTACGCTGTTTTTAGAACTATTCCAGCAAAATCCCGGCGGGGGACACCAGAAATGGGCTTCACACATTGTACATATGTGAGGGATCAAAACCGGGTCTTCGGCGTGACGAGCGAACGCATTAACCACAAGGCCAAGTGACCTGTAATAAACTAATAAAATATTAAACTGTTGTTTACCTATTTGCTTGGAAATCCAGCTGTATGGAAATAAGGTCTCTTTTGTACGTGTACATGGTCCAATACACACAGAGCCAGTAACTCAAGTTAAACCAGTGCATATATAATCTATGCCCTCTCCAAAGTTTAGTCAGGGACCATACCCCGATATATGGTCTCTGACACAGTGCGTTAGTATTTGCAGAATATCTTTCCAACATCCGTGTCCTTCTTTCAAGGACGTACCCTTAGTTTAGCTCCAGCCTGAAATATATTTGCCTTATTTGTTCTATTTTATGAATTAAAAACGGTTGAGTAATGAAACTGAAGCAAATTTAAACCATTTAGACAAAATTAATGTTCAGTTTCAATGACCCTTTTCTGTCATAACTGTAACATCTTCACCAACCTTTTCAAATCTGGTTTGAAATCGCCAATTTTATAATATGCATTTCTACAGTAAATTGTGATAATCCGTAATCCGGTTTCACATGGGTACAATGTGTGAAGCCCATTTCTGGTGTCCCCCGTCGTGATATTGCTGGAAAAGTGCTGTAAAAAATAAACACACTCACTCGCATTGGTCATCCACAATTCAGGCAAGAATCTCGGTTCTGTCAGGCTGTCTCTGACTACAACTGTAGCCGTTCCCTTGAGTTCCACTGTATTAAAGTAAGAAAGCGGTACTGTGATAGTTGGAAACGTCACAGAGGCTGCGATCTTCCTTCTCCCGTATCTCTTTCTCTTTGGAACTTTGCGAATATCGATCAAGTCTCATACGCTGCATTCTATATGTTGCATAATAACCTCAACTCAAAACTGTGTCGACTGTGCCAACTTGATATTTCTGACATTTCAATGAGGAGGCATGTGATCTGGGTTCCCGTGCCACATAGACCGTGGTATTATTACCCTGCTGTGGATACAACAATTCAGTCTGACTGAAGCATTGTTATTGTATAAACGGACGTAAATCGCCAGCTACATGTATCTTTCTTGTTCCGCGTCCATTTAGTCAAGGAGACAATGGAAAACAAGGAATGGTAAAACCATAAGCCGGAGTGAGTGAGTTTAGTTTTACGCTGCTTTTTCACAATATTCCAGCAATATCACGGCGAGGAACAGCAGAACTGGCTTCACACATTGGATTCAGAGGTATTACAGTTACTAAATAACAAATATCACTTTAAGAAACATCTACCTAATGTAGACCGAGGGAATAAATTTTGAGACATGCCCTAAAATGTGTTCTTACTGATGAAAATACCAAAAACTTAGAAAAAGAACGGGTTGTGGGACGTTATTTGATACAAACATTAACTGCCTGTGTTACGTCATCAGCATGCACAGTATCGACAGGTGAAATTGAGACCTGAGCACACGTTCGGGGGAGGGGTCATCTCAATAGATGTTTTCTTCAAAATGTTGAATATGCGTGCGTATAGTATACATATTGGTTATGTAAGGGATCATTTGTGTATGTGTGTATGTGTGTTTGTTTTGAAATAAACATACAAATTACTGTACAGTGGAAAGAATCCTATCACTTGTGTTATCTTATCGACTGATTGTGGAAATGTGCAACGTTTTAATAAATGTTTTGCATGTCAACAGCATATTTCATATTTCGAATATGGATGTAACGGTCAGTTTAACCCTAGTTGTGAACATTGGCCAAAGATTTAACGAAGTCACTGGTGTAGCTGAATATATATATTCTTTTAGCACATAAAGCTAGACCGCCCTTCTAAGCAATTTTCTCAAAGTTGGCAAGGATGGTTTTACGTCCCGGTTTTGCTTTTGAGAGGTCCCTGTCTTGTCTGATTTGTTTAACTATTGTAAACTTGTTGGTAAAGACATATTAAGGTCTTAAACATTGGCTCAAAAGCTAATCCACTCTTTGCAAGTCCATTCTGATTAATAAACTTGTTGCTGCCAACAGCTCTACAGTTCTGTAATAAACCTCTTTTCTAAACTAATGAAAGGACCGCTGTCTTTTTTCGCCAATAAAAGCTTAAATGCAACAAACTGCATAAAATGGACGCGTGATAAAGATGGGCATGCATGACGGAAACCCATTTATCAAGACTTAACATTTATATTAATATTTCTTCAATAAAGAAACGATAATTAAGTAAAGTAACACAAACATTCAACATTTATTTGTTAAAGAAAAACGTTAATTCATATTTTTACACCACCTGTATTATTAGCATAAATGTAAAGACTTTTTCAGATTTCTGTTGTTGAACTCTGAAAAAATCCTAAATTGTTGTTTTGGTACCATATTCTCGCCTGTAAACTGCCCTTTAAATGCATGGGAATGTTCAATCGATTAAAATAAAAATTAGGTACACTATAGGCGAGTTGATATATTGACAACATAGTACATTTATAACCTTTATCAAAGTATTAAGGCTAAAAAGCATTTTTCTAGCATTTCCGACAGTACTTTAGGCTACCTCACCAGCCGGAATCAACAGATTCAAGTGATGTCTTCCACGTAAACCGTATTATAGTTTATAAATAATTTAACTGTAATTGTGCAGCTTTAAATGGTACACTGCATGTTCAGAATAGCCAGCGAATTCCTGGCTCAGACTCAACAGCAGCATCAACAACGTGACGCCATCATCACAACCAATCATCACTCGCCGTTAGTGTTACCTTATTACATCAGTATATGTCTATTAGACACACCGACCGACTTTCTACTATGGTTGAACTATTCGCATTATCCCTGTACAGTTTTAATTTGTTAATTTCCAAAAGTTTGTATTTTTCGTGATATAGATTCGGATGCTACCTATTTCGAATGGTCAAATCATAAGACGTTTGTATTTGTCATCACGCTTAATAGATTCGGATTCGATTTCGATTTATACTGTGATGAAGCCACCTTATAACTATGCTATGAAAACAGTTTCAAATCTTACCTGCAGTTTTTGCAGCCCTTGAATTCTTAGAGAACGCATATTGCGTACAAGTCAGTCCCAGAAAACGCTACTTGTACATTGCTCATACAGAATAGATGTTGTTATCTGTCAATCAGACAACTGACGGTTACCGTTAAAACTCCTCGCTATAGCGCACTCAATGAATAAAACGAGATTATTAATTTAATGACAGGATTGCCTTTAATAACTAACAGACTTAGGGTCAACATATTGTAGAACAGAATATGAAATGGCAATAGAAATATAGATCGGTATCCCAAACTTGGCGTTATAACGAGGTCGAAAGAGATTAATTGGCTATTCTGTAATCGTTAATGTTTGTGACAACAGCTGTAAATCTGGAGCCTGCAGACAACTGGTACATTTCCTGGTGTAACTATCAGCGGCAATCACACGCTATTGTATGGCACGGAATCAACAGCGCCAACGTTTCGTTACATTTTGCATCTGACGTCGTACAATGTAAACGTACAGAAACTAATTAGGCAATCGGAGACGTTGAGTATTGAATATGTTTTACTGCCTATGGAAATGAAACACGAGTACGTATAACGTAAAATATTACTGAAGACCAGTTTATACAATGCAGTTCACTCTGATCAGTGGGTATATTGCTGATTTGAAACAAAAGACTATAGCTGCAAGCTTTACTAGAGTTTGATGACAATTAAGGACAAATGCATCTGATCTAATAAGCAAGCATCAATATGAAAACTTAAGTGTAGATTTTCAAAGACCTGTCGACATAATCTAATTCGTTTTCTTGTTACGGGCATTGGACCTGATAGAACTGCTAGAACCAAGCTGACATTGTACGCATGTGGGAAATCGAACCCGTGTCTTCGGCGTGACGAGCGAACGCTTTAACCATTAGCCCATCTCATTTTGAAGGGCATTTGTGCAAATGGGAAACATTTTATATAGCCTTTTAAAACATTTTGTAGACATAAAATGGACCATTGACGTTTTCTCCAGCATCCAGACCATTAGATAACATGTCGAAATTCGAGGAATCAGTATCTCTGTTACGCCCTCTCCGTTTAGTAAATTGATGATTTATATGTTATGCGAATGTTATGAAATACCTCCCATCATGGCCCTATGACCCTATGTCGGCTGTTCTGGTGACCCGGATGCATATGGCTGACCCTTCTGACGCCCAGGAGTTGACAGAAGACAAGGACTCGTGTGTTCATGCAGCAGTCGTGGTCACGTGTCTCTGTCGCCATATCCTGTTGATTGCATATTGGACACACATCCCTTGACCCCAATGGCCTGAGAGTGAAACACCGGAAGTTGTTGTATTTACTTCCGGATGCCAGACTGACGGGTTGAATCTTACCATTCTGATGTCGCGTGCGACTTTGCGATTGTGATTATGTATAAATCTGCAATTTGATCAAATGCAGGTTCACATAACTCATATTGGGAACATTACACCTAAATTTGAAATCTGAGAGCCTCTAAGCGCGCCACTTTGGGGACAGCAAGTATATTTTTATACCGCTTTGGGGCATTTTCCCATCAACATCACGACGTGGATACCAGAAACCGGATTCAAACATTGAACCATGTATGGTATCGAAACCGATCCTCGATATGACGATCAAACACTTGAACCAGTAGGCTAACCAGGCGAGCAGCAAGCCAATTTGTTCGTGTAAGCCCGATAGGTTGCACAGCTTTATATTTAGATAGTATTGAGGGTTTGCCCAACCTTTTTAGCAAAAATCAAGTGTAAGCCCGGGCTTTTATTCATAATGGTAGCTACGCCCCTGCCAATAGCATTCTTGTCACCGTTAGTTTTCCTGATCACATGCTTTGACACAACTGAGATACATATATTGTGGCGTGTAGATAACCAATCACTAAAACTACACCAATTATCATGCTTGTCGGTTTGGGATCTATGTGATAGTTGGCATAAACAACACGACCTTGTCAGTAGGCCCACGCCCTCTTATTTGCTGTGTATAAGTATGGTTTTCTGCCGTTTTGTAGCTATATTCCAGCAATATCAGGGTGTGGGTACATCGGAAATGAACTTCACACATTGTACCCATACGGTGAATCGAACTCCCGCCTTCAGCGTGACATGCGAACGGTTTAACCACCTGACCTAGATTTTCGAAGCTCTCTTGGCGCTAAGATAGTCGTAAGTTAATGCTAGTGAATGGCACTTACGACTATCTTAGCGCTAAGAGAGCTTCGAAAATCTAGGCCCAGGCTACCTCACCGCCCTCAGTTATTTGGAATTTGTGCAGACGTATCCGGAGAGCGGAAGGTCGCGGGTTTCCCCGACCGCGTCATACCAAAAGACGTTAAAATATGGTAATTTGTTGGTCCCTGCCTGGCGCTCTCGGATACTGGTCGGCTCGGGCCAGTATAATGTGTTGAGTGGGGAAGCATGGCCTCAGTGAGCTAGTAATTCACTAGTGGCATCATGTCATATGAGCGAAATATCAAGCACGGCTTGCAGATCAGCATATTTCTCAGCATGGTCGATTCCATGTTCACACCTCCGTGCACCTGCTCTAATGATTGGCTCACGACCCGGTTCGATTCCCCACATGGGTACAATGTGGGAAGCCCACTTCTGATAATTTGTTAATGTGGAAAACCCATTCTTGTGTCCCCCGCCGTGATATTGCTGGAATATTGCTAAAAGCGGCGTAAAAACACACTTACACCCTCACGAATGGAGGTTGTCATAAAACCAGCATTCATGACGAAAGAGGTACTCGTGTTCGGTGAACACACTCACTACCTATAGTACGAGTTGATGTTTCCCATATGTCTCATGTATCATGGATGAAAAAGACAAATGACATAGTTTCCTCATCTCATAAAACACTTCCTAAATCCAATGATCACTTTCCATTAAGGACCAATTTTCAAATAAATGTGACAAAACCCATTTACTCCTTTAAAAGAAATCCATTGATTTTGACTATATCATAAACATATGTGTTTATGAATCACATTGAGTTGGTGATGACTCTATG